CTTCTGGGCTCTGCAAGGACCAGACAGAAAACTAAATCTTTAAAAGAAAAAGTAATGAAAGGTGAAAATATCACAACACATTGTGTATATGTATAAAATTGTCAAAAATCATTAAAGTGAAGGGCTAGAGAGATGGCTCAGAGGTTAAGAGTACCGACTGTTCTTTCAGAGATACTGAATTCAATTCCCAGCAACCATATGGTGGCTTACAACCATCTATAAAGGGATTTGATTCCCTCTTCTAGAATGCAGACAGAACACTATATACATAATAATTTTCTTTTTTTCCAAGACAGGGTTTCTCTGTATTGCTTTGGAGGTTGTCCTGGAACTTGCTCTGTAGACCAGGCTGGCCTCTTAACTCACAAAGATCCACCTGCCTCTGCTTCCCAAAGTGCTGGGACTAAAGGCATGTGCCAGCACTGCTGGGCCTAAATAAATGTTTAAGAAAAAAATTTTGAAAGAAAACAAGTGAACCAGAAACTAGTTCCTACATAAAAAGTAAAACATGGCACCCCTGAAAACCACTTGAAATTTTTGATCTTTTGCCTATACATACAAATGAGGGCCACAGAGCCAGATGTGGGAAACAACTGTAATCTCAGCAAATGGGAAGTGGAGGCCTCAATTACACAAGTTCAAAGCCATCCTGGACTACATGATCCTGTCTCAAAAAATGAAAAAAAAAACTTACAAATATGACCTATTTTAAAACCACATAATAGCCAGATGGTAGTGGCTCACACCTTTAATCCCATCACTCGGGAGGCAGAGGTAAGTGGATTTTCTGTGAGTTAGAAACCAGCCTGGTCTACATAAGCTAGTAACAACCACCACCTCCTTGCTCTCAAACTGTCCTTCTGAATTTGGGCAATGCTCATTTCTGTGAGCAGAAGTGACTGCACCTCAAGGGACTTCTAGATGCAGGATCAGCTGGCAGTTCCACATTAGGGTCCTGGAGTGTTTTCTAATACACACGTGTCCGAAGCAGATCTCTGAGAGTTCAAGGCCAGCCTGGTGTACAAAGTGAGTTCCAGACAGCCAGGGCTATTACACAGAGAAACCCTGTCTCAGGGGAAAGAAAAAAAAACAAAAAACAAACAAACAAAAAAAACAAAAAAAAAGGAAAATGAGCTGGACATAGGCAGGCAGATCTCTGTGAGTTTTCAAGGCCAGCCTCATCTTGGTCTATACAGTGAGTTCCAGTCAGAGCTACATATTGAAAAAAAAAAAAGAAAGAAAAAGAAAAAAAAGTAAATAAATGAAACCAAGTGCAGTAAAATACTGTGTTTATGTTTTTTAAAATTTTTTCTTTTTTGGTTTTTCAAGACAGGGCTTCTCTGTGGCTTTGGAGGCTGTCCTGAAACTAGTTCTTGTAGACCAGGCAAGTCTCGAACTCACAGAGATCCCGAGTGCTGGGATTAAAGGCGTGAACCACCAACGCCTGGCCACAGTATACTGTTTTTAAGGCAAGAGGATCAGAGGGGCTCAAGGTCACCCTCCTCTTTGTAGAGTTCAAAGCCAGACGTTGTGTATAGGTTTATATGTATATACATGTAGGCACTAACACAAAAGGAGACTGAGGATCAGCTCAGCTGGTAAAGTGCTTACCTTTATCCTTCACACACACACACACACAGACTGAGGTTGAGGCAGGAGAATTTGAAACTTCAAGTCAGACTGGGCAACTTAGTGAGACCATCTCAAAACAACAACAAAAAGGATGAGAATTTAGCTCCATGGGAGGGGATTGCCTGGTGTATGCAAGGCCTAGTGTTCATCTAGCACAAAATAATAAGTCTCGTGGTACGTGCCTACAATACCAAACTTGGGAGACTTGCACTGAAAGACTGACTATGAGGCCAGCCTGGGGTACTAAGACTGGCCCTATAAGGGAGAATTAGTCTTCAACGGGGATGAACTCCCTAAATGGTTATCCAAGGCCAAATGGTTAGCCTTAAAAATAAGTACATGCTAGCTACACTAAATGGACTCAGGTTGTATGAATTTGGGGAGTGGGTAGACATGAAAGTAACTGGAGGGAGATCCTGTTAAAACACGTACATACATACATACATACATACACACATACATACATACATACATGTTGTTTGTTTGTTTTTTGTTTTGTTTTATTTTTCCAGGCAAGGTTTCTCTGTGGCTTTGGAGGCTGTCCTGGAACTAGCTCTTGTAGACCAGGCTGGTCTGGAACTCACAGATCCGCCTGCCTCTGCCTCCCGAGTGCTGGGATTAAAAGTGTGCACCACTGCCACCCACCATATAATTATATTTTAGTTAAAATAAAGGTTCACTGGGCTGAGGATTTTTCAGACCCTGGATAAATCAGCACCACACAAACACAAAAAGGTTCATGACTTCCAAAGAAATCTACCTCATATCTATCGTCCTGTAAACAATGACCCTCACCAAGTGACTCTAGTGAAAACACAGTGCAATTAAGGTTCACTGAAAAATCTTCACTTCCAGCCACTTGACAGAAATTATCTCATACACACACACACACACACACACACACACACACACACACACACACACACGCACGCACGCACGCACGCACGCAAACTTGGGAAGACAAGATACCCACATGAAAGAGGCGGAAAACAAGGCCTGAAAGTTTAACTCCGTCGGGGTTAGCAAAGCCAACTCCAGATTCAATCACCTGTCATGCCGTCCTAAACACCACTATGAATTAACCCATCAAGGTAATTGTTAGAACTAGGAAACTGGTAAACATTAAGGAGCAAGCTGAAAGACCAACTGATCGCGTTAAAAGAAAAAAAAAAATAGGGCACCAAAGCAGCCCACGAACAAGGTACTACTGACTCACATTTAAAGGACGAGTCGGGCCGCCAAACTCAATTGACAGGCATCAACCACCCTCAAAGTTCAAAGGAATCTTGTCACCCCACCCTGAGCCACAGGTCCTCCAACGCCAGAATCCGGGCGACTCTGGAG